GAGCTGCTGGAAGCGCAGCAGCAGGATCAGCGCTGCCACCAGGTGGGTCCAGACGTTGATGGCCTCGTTGTGCTGCTGGAAGAGGGTGGAGAAGTAGTAGCGCCAGGTCTGCTGGACGGGCCGGTAGCCGGTGTGGATGTAGGGCTTCCAGAAGACCTTGGGCACCTCGGAGCTGCTGACGGTGGAGGGAGAGAGGGGCCCCAGCAGCTGAGGGACCTGCCTCACGTTAATGAAGAGCCGGCTGAGCTTCTCGCTGACAAACGTTGCCATGGTGTGGCCCCACTCCGGGTCCCCGCTGTGCGAAATAACCTTTGGGGTGGAAGGAAAGCTTTGCTGCGGGGTTTAAAAGTGGCTTTGACACAAAGTCGGCGAGCGGGGGCAGCTCAAATGCTTGGCCAGATTTTTTTTGTTTGGTTGGTTGGTTTGTGTTGTTTTTCCAAAGATAAGTGTGGCCGGAGAACAGCCTGAAAATAAGAATCAACAACAGGGGTTAGGAAGGAAGGAGGCTGAAGGGAGATTTAGGAAGCCCTGATGTGCCTCTGCTGCACAGGTAACAGACTGCTTGGAGAAGCACAGAGGACACAAGTATGGGGTTAATTGATGCATCAGTTCCTGGCTCACCCCTTCCCTGCAGTTTGGGAAGTGCTAAACAAACCAAACATCCTAAACAAACCTCCCACTCCAGATTTTCCCCCTTGTAAACTGTTTACAGTCCCTGTCCTTACAAGTGACACGAGCCACCTTCCCACCAGCATCGAGGTGGGATCAACCTGCTCTGCCTCCCAAGGGGAGGGCACCTGAGAACAGAAATAACCAACGGCACTAACAGGGGGTAAAACTCCTGCAATTTGGAGTTTCACCTCCTTTTTTGAGCTCCTGATTTTCCAAGCAGCTTTCCACAAAAACAACACAGCTCGAGTGAGTTCATCCTGTTGCATCACTGAGGTCCAGCAGCACAATCTTTGCGGAGCAAACGTCTCCATATTTACATTTTGGAAGCTGCTGCCCTCACCCGGATAAAAGCAGCCCTCTCATAAAAGCTTATTGAACAGAACATGCCCAAAAGGAGATTCTCCCCCCATTTTACCTGCTCGTGCTCAGACAAGTCCTGAGGAAAACAGCCCGGATCCCATCCAGCTCCAGTGCTGATTTATGCCTCAACCCCTGGCAAGTGCCGTTGTTTCAGGGACAGCTCAGACAGGAAAAGCCTTTCAAAGTTTGGGAACAGGAGGAGGTGGGGATGACACTGTTTGTTTTTAAAATACCCATAATTTCTTCATCAGAATGGGTCTGTAACCCATGCCTGTCCGAATCCAAGGGGCACAGATGCAGACAAAACCAGGCTGTTTGCTGCTCAGCTTCCCTCCTGAGTGCTCTTTTCCCACTTTGCCTGGTTAAAGAGGCCCCACATCCCAAACAGCCCCCCTGGCTGGGGCAGCAGCTCACAGAGGGCAGTCCTGACCCCTGCTTGGCCTCCTAAACCCTCCTGCAATGCTGCAACACGCTCTGGCTGCCAGTGAAAAATTAACTTCACAAACCTCTTCTGGACTCGCAGCTCCCGTGCTGAACTGAAACAGCCCCAGGTCCCACCACAGAGACGAGGGCAAAAGCAGAACTTCCCAAATTCAGCTGTTTCAACCAAAATACGATGGGCAGTTTGGAAGAAAACACTGCCCAGAGAACTTGCCTCTATGCCAGGGCTGCTGCTGCTCACGGGGATATTCAGGTAGAGGGGAAGGGGCTCAGCTCCAGATCACGTCCGACCCAGTTTCGGCTTCCAGGAGAGAAATTCCTGTGGGAAAGGCACCCCTGGTTTGCTCAGGGAGATGCTGTGGCAAAAGCAGTGGAGAGCAGCCAAGCACAAGGCAGGAAAGGGAGTGGTGTTCACCCCAGTTCCTCCAAAACTTGTCAGAGCAGGGCTTCTTTTGCCAAGCTCTTCCCAGCTATCAACCCTTGAGCAACGCTCCGTTAGGAACGGAGCACAGCTTGGAAATCATTCACCTGCCTGGTACTCCAAATAACAGCCTCCACATCCCCACGAGCTGTCAATAGCGCTGCCTCAAACGCCTGCTGCTTCCTCCGAAGCATTTCCTTTCCCCAGCAGCATCCACCCATCCCGCCGAATTTTTTGGTGATGATAGAGCCTCGGCCCCGGGCTGTTTACATCCCTGCTTGCTCCCGCCACACAGCGGGATCCACCCTCCTAAGGCACAAATATCTTTCTTTTTTTTTAAGTTGGGATGGGTTTTTTTCCACCTCGACTCACCGAGCCCTTGATAAACCGGAGTCCCCCCCCCTCCTTCCAGCTGCCAAAACCTGGGAGCCAAGGGATGGTTCTCCATCCCCTGGGATTTCCCCCTCCCGGCGCGGGGGATGCTCCGGGGCTCGGGTGGAGTTGGACACGAGGATTGGCAGCGCTCTGGAACCCTTCCCCTCCCGGTGCTCCCCCGGGACCCCCATCCCCGCCAGGCACCTGCAGAACGGGCACCCCTCCGGGCCGGGCTCAGCCTCCGCGCGCCTCCGTTTCCCTCTCCCCGGCCCGCCCCGCTCCGGCCCCGCCGCTTCCTTCCCTTCCCTGCCGGTGCCCGCTTCGCCCGCGGCTCCTCCGCGCCGGATCGGAGGGGAGAAAGGGGGGGCTGTGAACCAGATCCCGTCCCCCCCGCAGCGCCCTACGAGCTGCTGCGAACCTGCTCCCCCTCCCCGTGCCCTCGCGGCCCCAACGCGGCTCCCCTCGCCCTCCCTCCGCGGGGTGGAAAGAAGCTGCGGAGCCTTTTTGTCCTTTATTTTGAAAGAACCTGTTTCCATCTCACCCTGATTCCTGTTTTCCTACCCGACCATCACCCGCATAGTTCCCCTCCCTTACCCCTCTCTCACATCACTTCTGTCCTCTCACAGCTCCCACCCCTCAAAATCCCCCCCCAGCAGCACTCGGGGGATCCAGCCCCAGGGAAGCACAAACAACGGCAGACACGCAAAGCAGAAGGAAGAGGAGGGAACAGAAGGCCCCGCGCCGAGATCTGACAGCCCTGACGAGCCAGAAACCCGCGTTTATCGTCTTTTTGGGCTCTTAACGCCATTTGGGGTTTGGCAGCTCCTCCATCCTCCTCCCCCACCGCGGGAGAGAGACGGGAGATAAACCCCCCCACGGTATTTGGGACACTTGGGTCTGTTCTCAGCAGGTAAATAAATACATTAAAATGAAGATCCGGGGAGGTTTTTTTGATTGTTGGTTGTGCCTCATCTTGTGCACGGGCTCTGATCCAGGGATCCCTCCAGCCTCCATTACACAGTACCAGGGATTCAGCTCTTTATCAAGCCTCATCTCAAAGTTCAGCTCTGTATTTTCCTGCCCTCATCCCTGACCCCATCCCTGTGCCCTCATTCCCCTGGACAAATCCTGCCCCCATCCCTGTGCCCTCAGCTTACCCCGTGTCGATATGAGCCACTAAAAGCTCCAAACCTGCCCCGTGCCCCCACCCCGCGGCCGGGCAGTCGCTCCCCACCAGGGAGCAGCACAGACTCACCTCCGCCTCTGGAATTCCTTCGGGGAGAGCACCAGCTCCAGCCTCCCAAGCACATGGAGCTGGGCTGTACCTCACTGCTCCTCGATGGGTTAAGCACAGCTCAGGTGCAATCCAAGTGCCCGGTGGGACACAGGAAAGCTCCCTAAACTGAGGGCTTCTTCTTAATCAAGTGACCAGGAATCCTTTAGCCCCTTAGAAAACCAGTTCCCCACCAGCTTTTCCATCCTCAGAATTACGTGTCAGCTGGGCTGCACCAGATGCTCCAGGTGTGGAGTTAAACCTGAAAGCAAACCTGGGAAGCAAAAGGCTCAGGATCAGGGGGACGGAGAAAGCCAGAGCCATGAGTGTCACACTGAGGCTGTGAAATCCCTGGCACCCACTAAGCCAAGAGTTCTGGAACAGGGTGCTGAGGAAGTTGGGTGCCTGCTCACCCCCCTTGGCTCTGCTAAGGGCAGCACAAGCACCTGTGGATGTTCTTAGGGGAAGGATTTGGGGTACAATACAGCAATTTTGTACCCAATCCACCTAAAAAAAAAAAAAAATAAAAAAATCATCTTTTCTCAGAGCACAAGTACAGCCCCATCCATTCCTCACACCCCAGGAGGAGAAAAAACCACCCCTCTGGCTGTGGGCAGGAGTTAACCTCGGTGTTCTATCCCAACACAGATGTGTGACACCCAAACAAAAACAATTCTTATCCACAAACAGCATTTTGGAAGAGGTCCAGCTGACTTATCTCAGCACCAACACAGGTTCCTGACTCTCCCCCTCTGACACAGCCACCATTCAGCAGCACAAGCCATCTCCCAGAAACCCTTCCCAAAACCAGGCTCAGACCAGTCATGTGGTAACAAGGGCCGTTTGTTGGGGCGTCAGAGCCCCGGGGAGGTGGCTCTGAACCCTCTGAACAAAAACACCCGACAGCTGACAACTGCTGAGGTGTCAAAACAAAGCTCTGATTGTCCAGCTAAGACAATGCTGTGCTCTGGGGGAGCAAGGAAATGTGCTGCTCCAGACCTTCCCACCGGGGTGAGGAGTCCCACTGCAGCCCTCGGCTGGTTTTTGTCCCCTAGGAAATGATTCTCGGGATAACAGCACTGTGCAGCTTTATTGAGTCACTCAGTTACAGCAGTATTTTAGCAGACTGACTGGGACAGAGTCAGATATTTACTTTTTTTTTTTTTTGAAGTGTAACAGATATTCAGCATGGAACAGTTACTACAGATTCCTTTCACAAAGGTCTTACAGAGCTGATACAGTACTCGCCATCAACCCAGGAGCGAGAGCACTGGCGTAGAAAAGGATGCAACAAGAAGAAAAGCTACACTGGAAAGACAACACTTTTAGAAAAGTGACACATGGAAGGTTCTCCCCTCTAGCCCCCAAAGCAAGTGTACAGTTTGGATCTAATTTTACAGTTCTACATCAGTTTCTAGAAACTTAAAAAAAAAAAATATATATATATAACCGAACCAAAAACCAAAGATAAAACCACTGGCCAGTACAGTCTTTGGATATTTAGAGGAGGGGGAGAGGAAGTTTCCAGAATGAAATCAGTCGGTTTCGGCCTCACCGGGGTCTTTGCCTTCTTTGTTCTTTCGAACCTCTTCGACGTGCTTGTCCTGAAAGACAGCAGCAGGAAGCAGTTAGATCCTGGGAAAGGTATGGATCCTGGGAAAGGCACGGGGCTTCCCACCCCCAGCTCACAGCAGGAACCCTGACGTGGGTCACTGAGGGGGTGCAGGCTGGAGCTTTAGAGGAGAAAGCAAAACACTGCCCTAACTCGCTCCCTGCGTCCCGTCCCCTCTCCCCACAAAAGAGCTGCGTTTCTGCACAACCTTCTGCAGGTTTAAGAACCTCTGAAGGTCACAGCACTGCCAAGGACACCCATCTATTCGCAGCACCCCGTTCCTCTGGGGTTTTCAGCCAGTTTTCCGAGCGGGGAGCAGGGATAACTCCCTCTCCAAGGGGCCCCCACACCCACCTTCTCCCGCAAGCGCTCCAGCTTGGCAGCCATTTGTGCCTCACGGTTCTCTTTGTTGGCTTCCATTTTGTGGGTCAGCTTCTCCTCTGCCATTTTGCTGAAGTTGTTGTTCTCCTCGATGGCTTTCTGCAGCACCTCCTTCTCATGCTCCCGCTTCTCCGCCAGCTGCTTCAACACTTCTGCTTCGTGAGACTGCCAAGGCAGAGGGTGCAGGCGTTGAGGAACAGCACACAGGCAACCTCAGTTGCCCCCAGCTCCTCAGAGAACATGGTTTTCTACCTTTTTTTACTGCAGAACAGCAGCTTGGTGCTGCAGGACAGAGCTCCCAGTGCTCCCCCCCCCCTGCCCAGAACCTGTACTTCACCATCACAAGCTACCTGGGAGGTTCAGTTTCTGTCACCGTTGTTAAATGGGATTTCTCTGGAAAGAGAACATCGATTTTTATTTTTTTTTCTTAATGTTAACACTGATGGAACTTTCCTTGAAGATTCTCCTTTCACAGAACGGTGAATCACTGAGATTTAGGTCAGGCTCACTTCAGTCAAAGCCTCAGCACCATCAAGGGCTCCAGGCTACACCAACAGCCAGATCTTTCATCAGTCAGACACTGCATTAACAAACTGCTCATTACAGATTCACCACTACATTTTCTAGGGGAAAATTAATCTGTTCTGGTGCCAAAAGACAAGAAAAGCAGCTTCTTCCTGAAATAGCTGCCCCTCTCAACTAAACGTTTTCCCCCCTGTTTTAATTCAAGTGACAGCTCAAAAATCACTTTGGAAATAAAGCCATGGCTTTCCACACCAGGACAAAGGTTCACAAGAGCCCCAGGGATTCCAACAAAGCTCAGTTAATATTCCATTTATCATAACACAAACCACTGATCACTTCTCCCAAACCATTAAAAACCCAAAAAAAAACCCTGCATAACTTGCACAGGCTGGTTGAGCAGAGCTCGCCTGGGCTGCCCCAGATTTACCTTGCGTCTCTCTTCTGCTGCTTCCAACTTCTTTTGAATCTCCTCCAGTGACACATCCTTCTTCTTTGGGGGAGAAAGAGGGAATTCTGGAACGGCTTCTTTCGAGCGGGGGCTGAGGATCAGCTCAAAGGCCTGCCCAGAGGCTCGCTTCTCCAGCTCCTTCACTTGGATGTCTAGGAACGTGGGGGAAAAGCCAAAATAAGAGCATTTTTAAGCCACTAACCGGCTTAAAAGCCTTCAAGCACTTTCTGCCACAAAGCTCACTGGAGGAGAAGGCATCCAAGACAAGTTTTGTCTTAAGCACAGCAAGAGCATTCAAAAATACAGCAGCTTTCTTTGCAATTCCCTCCTGATATTCAACATCACCCAAACACCTGACATTTTGTTTTAGCCTTTAATATCCAGAATTGTGGGGAAAAAATAAATTGTCAGCGCTTCAAATTAAAAATCACCATTTCTCCCACGACAGGTCCAAGGATGAGTTTCCAAGTGCCTGCCTGAAACCTGACAGAGCCAAGAAGAACAGGGAGCTTTCAAGGAAACCCAGAAGCAGGGTTGTGTCTCCAAACCTTCTGAGAGGCATGTCAGCCCTGCACAGTGTCAGCTGCACCCGTTTGGGTCCCCAAAATGCCTCGGTGACAGTCAGTTCTGCTGAGGGAGCAGATGGCTGCAGGGAGCTGGAGCCCATCTGCTGACAACTCTCATCTGAGGAGGCTTTTTGGGGTGTTTTCACAACCACCCAGTTTCAGCAGCTTCACCCAAGCAGCCCAGAGACACGAGAAAAGCACGGGGAGGGAACAGTTTATTTTACTAGATTAGATTTTTAAGTGATTTCTGAGGAAATTAAGAAGCAAAAAAAAAATAAAAAAATAAAAATAAAAAGACGAGCATTTAGTACATAATACTACATACCAGAAGTAGCCATGACCAAGAAAATAAGATTCCAGAAGCCAACCCTGGGAGAAGGTCAGTCTAGTTGGATTCCTAGATAACAAAGAGATGTGCCTTTGAACAGCAAGCACACGGATTATATTCCTTCTAATAAAAACTGCTAAGCATAATAAGATCTGCTGAACAAAAGGCAGCCAGGTAGGTTACTGCAGTCAGTGATTCCAGGCAGTCTGTGGGGATGAGGCTGATGTACATTGCTAGGAACAGTGGAGAGGTTCTGCATTATGGGTGTTATTCGAGCATCTTCAATCTCTGTTTTACTCCACCGTAATTAAGATGCTCAAACAAAGACTCAGTTTTACTGAGTGCTGTGGATATTTCACTGCTATCACACACAGGTAAAGCCATCTGAATTAAAACACGGCACACAACAGGGCAGCACAGGCAGAATCCCCGCTGCTCCCGAAGGATCTGAAATGTGCGCAATCAAACCTCATTTAAAATTCTATTTTAATTGCGCAGCCGAAGTCAAGACGTGCAAGGCAGCGAGGGCGCACACGCAGCGCCCGGGACACACACACACACACCTCGTCAAAACGGCGGCGTCATAAAAATTGCCAGTAAAGGGTGTAAAAACCGTCAGAAGAGGGTTTTTCTCGGGGGGTTTTAAG